CTGCAGGTTTTTCTTCCCAAGGTGGAGAACCTTGCATTTTTTGGTGTTAAACACCATCAGGTTCTCATCCACCCATTTCCTGAGCCTGTCAAGGTCAGCCTGGATCGCCCTCCTGTCCTCAGGTGTGGTGCTTTACCTCAGAGTTTGGTGTTGTTGGCGAACTTGGCCAGGCCACTTCTGACACCAATGTCCACGTCATTAATGAAGATGTTGAATAGTGTAGGTCCAAGGACAGAGCCTTGAGGGACCCCACTGGTCACAGGGCACCACAATGATTGACTTCCGTCAACCACCACCCTCTGGGTCCTACCACAGAGCCAGTTCCACAGCCAGCGGATTGTGGTGGACTGGAGGCCGCAGTAAGCCAGTTTTGCCAAGAGGTGATCATGGGATACTAAATAGAAGGCTTTTTTAAAGTCAAGGTATATGACATCAATCTCTTCTCCCTTGTCCAGGTGATAGGTCACCTGGTCGTAAAGGAAATGATATTGGTCAAGCAAGACCTACCCGCAACAAACCCATGCTGGCTATCCCTCAGGAGGTTGCTGTCAGCCACTACATTAAGGATGGCCTCTTTGATAATCTTTTCTAAGACCTTCCCCAGGATAGAAGTCAGGCTGATGGGCCTATAGTTAGTCGGATCCACTTTCCTCCCTTTGTTGAAGATAGGCATCACATTGGCCTTCTTCCGGTCTTCGGGCACTTCACCTGAGCACCAAGAGTTCTCAAAGATCCGTGCCAGGGGCTGAGCTATGATGCTAACCACTGCCTTGAGTACCCTGGGGTATAAACAGTCAGGGCCAGCTGACTTGAAGGTGTCCAGCCTCTCAAGATGTTCCTTCATGAGGTCAGCATTGATGGAGGGCAAGGAATCTCCCTCACCCTGTCCCGTAATGGGCAGAGGCATCCCATGGTACTGGTGAAAGACCGATGCAAAGTACCCATTTAGCAATTTTGCTTTTTCCTGAGCGTTGGTGGTCAGTTATCCCATCTGGTTTAGCAGGGGTCCAATGCTGCCCTCGCTTTTCCTCCGGCTCCCTACATGTCTAAAAAAGGACCTGATACTTGTTGTCCCTGATACTTGTAGCTAATTGGAGTTCTGTTGCAGCCTTGG